GTACCACGAACGTGGAATGTACACCATCTGGTGAAGTTTTATCAGTAATCCGAAGGAGGTGCAGACGGCGAAGCCCTCACCCCTTAACGGGTTACTGATTGAACGCCACCCTCGGCCTCGAGCCACTTATGAATAAAATCATGTTCCTCTTGATTTTTTCTCTGGAATTTAAAGTAAAAAATTAGCAGGTGCCCTCATCGGCCACCTCAGAGCGAAGACTCAGGTATGGCCGACATGGCACCTTGCATTTGCAACCTGCGAAGCAACAAGCCCAGGTACTCCATTGTATTTTGTATCAGCAAAGGGCTCAGGCCCAGCTGAGAGAGCACATCGTCCTGGCCCCGTAAACCTGAAGTGAAACGCTCAGGTATGGCCGACGATGTCCCCAGGACGAGGGGCCCGCAAACGGCCCACGTCTTGAAACGGGAAGCTCGCCGCGTCGTCCACGCGCCAGATCGCATGACGACATGCCTGAAATCATGGTCGAGGTGACAAAATCCCAAAACTCAGGGATGGGCAACGACAGCCGTTGGAAACCGACCAAAAGTCTAGCCCGCGTCATAAATAGGCGACGAGACCCGCCCTGAGATCACGGACGTTATAAACGAAGTCCGAACCGACCGAAGGACGAGCACACCCTTCGGCCGAAGCCTGAAAGAAGGATACTCCCCTGAAATAGGGAACAAAAAAAAAGAGGGAAGCCGAGGACTTGCCGGCCTCGAGCAATGGAAAAAATAAAATCCCCACAACTTAGGCCAAACTTGGCTAAGTACATATCAGTTGAACACAAGTGTAGCACAACTAACAGGTGACATGGACGATATGGCCACACGTCCATCACAGACAAGGGAATCGTCCAGGACGAAGCATACGCCTATAAAACCCTAACCAGTGGTTGGGTGACACGCGAGTGGTAACCTTCATCGGCCACGGCTCTTTGAAGCAACAACACTTGGTATGAAATAAAGAATGACAATCCTGAGGATGACCAGGACGAAGCGGGCAGTATCACACCCGCGGAAGAATCAAGCAATCAAGGAACAATCCCTACTGGCCACAGCATCCCGGATGGCCGATACAGGCACTGAAACCCAGGATGTTGGTCAAGCGAAAGTTCTGTGGGGATTTGTCCAAGTGTTTACCAAACACTTGGAGGAAATTCTAGGGAAAAAGGTTCCTTAAGAGAATTCCGACACTTAGAGAAACCATTGGGGAAAGCAAAAGGCAGCCTCATCGGCCACAAAGCCAGGCCTTGGCCGATGAAGGTAGGGCCACCTCTTAGCCGACAACGGTACCACAAAGAAGAAACTGTCTGACATTTATACTTAGAAAATTTTCTAAGTATTCGTATGAAGAAACTCTAGACGAGGCGGGCACCCGTATACCCGCAGGCCGTTAGCTACTTGTGACTTGCATGTGTACTTAGTAAAATTTCTAAGTCCAAAAAACTAAGTCCAAAGTACCCTTATCGGCCACAACAGGAGGATCCAGGCCGACAACAACGACATTAGTTCAACACTGGGAATTTCCCAAATCATTTGTCAATACCGAGGAGAGATTCAATACCAGGACGATGAGAACACCCATCTACTTGAAGTTAGACACTTAGGAAAATTCTAACAAAAAAAGAAGAATGGGACACTACCAAGATGCAGCGGACACCTCAGCTTGCCCACCTCAGTCAGGACGGAAAGAAAGACACTAAGACAAACCCTAGCTAAGTGGATCTAAATCACTTAGAAAATTTTTGAATAAATCCCAAGTGTTACAACAGCGAAGAAATACCGGACAGGCCGACCAGGCCACCAGACTGAATGGCCTACCTCACGGACGTAGCAAACACTCACGGGTGAACTAAGTGTAACTTTTACACTTAAGACAAATTTCAAAATTGAAATAGCAAGAGGGAATAAACATACAAGACATTCAAAGCCGAGCAGGACAGCAAAAGGTTCATTCATAAACAATCAATTACATTGGTGGGCGCTTCAGCCATTACATCAGATGGGCAAAACTAGAAGATAATTAATTACAGGATAGGGAGCGGGGAGTAGCCGATCAAGACTCTTGGGCGCCTCCATGCCCAGCCTGGTTTTGCTCTTCGGCATCTTCGGCTCCCTCCTCGGCCTCAGTCTCCTGGTCGACAGCAGCTGCAGAACTGGTGGCATCATCCAGGAAGTCAAACTCGTCGTAATTCGGCTCGCCGAGGCCGGAACTCTCGATTGGGGGCTCCCGCTCCGAAAGAGGAAGCTTGGCCTGCTCCTCGGGATCTTTCATCATCTTGGGAAGCTTCAAGTTCCGCCTCGCCCACCCGGAGGTATAATTCATGGCTTTGAGGGCACGCGATAGCCGCCGACACAGGAGCCTCTGCATCCGCTCTTAGCCCATGTTGTAGTACACGGCCATCTCCCTGCTAAAGTACTCCTGGCCGGCGGGGGAGTTCATTCCCCAATCTTCAAGCTTGGCGGCCACCACTTCATAACACCAGGAGAGCCGCTCATCGGCCTTCCACCCCTCGGCCAAGAACTGCTGAACGGCCTCATCAGTGGCCTTCACAGCGGCAGCCTCAGCCTCAGCTTTTGCCTTCACGGCCTCATCACTTTTGCGCCGTTCAGCCTCAAGCGCCCTCTGACTCTCCTCGAGTTTGGCCAGGGCATCGTCCCTAGCTGCAGCTGCCTCATCAGCCCTCTTTTGCAAGGCCTTGGCATCCTCCCGGAGCCGATCCAAGCAGGCTACCGCCTCATCGGCCGAGGCAGCCTTCTGCTCAAGCTCCCTCAGGCGAGCAATCTCCCGATGCTGCCTCTTGTGGCTCTCCATGAGCATGAAGGCACCCTGCACAAAAAAGGCAAACAAAGACTCAGACAAATGATTCCGCCCGGACGACGAGAAAAACGACAAATAAGAAGGAAGGGAACTTACTTGGACGAGGAGGTCCATCCCGCCTTCGTACACCTTGACGTCCCCGAGCCTCTTGAGGTAGGCCCGATCTTTGGCCGGCATGGCCTGGGCCAGCACATCGTGGCCGAGGACGACATCGTCAAAAACACCCCCGCCGACGGGGTATTCCACCATTTTCTGGTAGGTGGCAGCGGCAATCTCCTTGCCGGCCCTCTTCTTCCGTGGCTCCTGGACGAGAGGGAGCGATTGGGCAGCATCGCTTGGAGCAGCAGTAAGATCCACAACGGGACCACTATCGTCCACACTTGGGACGGTCAGAGTATCGACCTCATCGGCATGGGAAGGAGACGGTGCCCGCTTCGTCTTCTTAGTGACATTCAGGCCAGCCTCGGTCAATTTCTTCTGACCGTCAGTGGGAGGCCTCTTCTTCTTGGACTGGGCAGGCTTCGGGGCCGCACTAGCAGTAGCCTTGCCCCCCTCGGCCGCGACACGTCTGGCCGCCTCGGCCGCCTTGGCCTTGGCTATGGCCATGATTGAACGGCGATCCATGACAAAATCTACACAAGAAAACGAACAGATTAGCAAGGCAAAAGAACAAATAACAAAGGAAGAAAGCCGAAGAAAGAATTACCATCGGCCTCAGCAGGAATGCCCAAATCCGGGCCGCCGGCCTCTTCGAAGGTAGTGGTCATCCTCGGCCAAAGTTGGACATCGTCCTCCTTGTCGCCATACACATAGTATCTTAAGAAGCCGAGGGCGGTCATCTTATATTCGGTGATGTAGTCTTTCAGGCTCCTCGGCCCCCCTTCCAAGAACGCCTCCACCTGAGCGTCCAAGATCGAACTCCTCGGTGGGTCGTGCAGGTTGAACCTCCCGGTGTGGCCGAGAGAGGGAAACTCAGTGCCATTCTCACCGAGGGATACAAAAACGAACTTGCTCTTCCACCCATGAATGGACGAAGGCAAGTCCGTGAAGCTCCTCTTCTTCGGCAGCTGTTGGAGAGTAGCATAGGCCACACAGTTTTTGTGACTTCCTCGGCCGATCTGATAAAGATTCATGAACAGGGCCGTCGTCGGCCTGTAGCCCAGCTCCTCACAGCGGAGCAAGAACCCCACCATCAACGAGTAGCTATTCAGGGTCAACAAGGCCAGAGGGAGTCCCACCATGTCCAGATATTTGGTGATGAAGGGATGGAGGGGAAACCTCAGCCCCTTGGCGAAACTCATCGGGTATACTCCAAAGTATCCCGGTGGCGGATGGAGTACATGGTCCGTCGGCCTGGGTGCCCTAACCCTCCCGAACGGCCCCACGTACATCTGGGCAACCAAGTAGTCAGCCGCGCTGCTCTCCGGCTTGATGAGGAAAATATTTGTGAGATCCAGGTAGGAGACGCCCGACCCACTCTTCGGCCTCCTTATTCTCTTCGGCTTATCTGCTCCCTTCACGGCGGACACCGGTCTCGGGCACGGAATAACAGCGGAAGTGGACGCCCCGTCCACCACTCGGGACGCACCTGCGTCCTCACCTTTTGAAGATGAGGCGGACTCCTCGTCCTCACCTTCGTCGTCCACCGGCTCTCCGGATTTGTAAGGACTTAAACGTTCTATCTCTTCCTCGAACTCCTCAAGCACCTCATAGTCGAGTGACCTAGTGGAGGGCTGGTCGTCGTACGGATAGTATTCTTCGTCTAAACTCTTCATCATTACAACTACTACGAGCCTAAGGGGAATAACTTCGGATCTAAGGCGTTTTATCCACTAACACTAGCTCACTAGTGCAGAAAACCCATTCTATAACAAGGATTTCATATGGGGTTTAAATTGCCCGTTACAGAATGTATAACACGGGGTCAAAATTTTAATAATAAAAAGTTTTTTCCATTATAATGGGTCTAAACTATAAATATGGAACCCTTTTAATAAGGGTTATACATTAAACCGAAGTGAAAAGTTGAAAACGTGGTCTTTATTACAATTTTTGAAAAATATTGTTACAAGCCGAGTCTTTTTTATAATTTTAAAAACTTGTTATCGATGTCCGTTTTACATGACCCGTTACTAAAACAATTCCAATAGTAAATACTCCGTACTACGTGTTTCTTTGACGTAAGAGACGATCCCAAATCAGGTAGAAGGATGAGATGGAAACGGGGTATGACAGCTTGGGCGGCGCAGAGTGGTAGCCAGATCGGTGGTCCTCTTCATCGAATCGGAAGAGGAGATCTCTAGCGGGTTAGGAGAATGCATGATTGATACTCAGGGAAACGATCTCCACGCTGGAGGATCGACGAATTGGGCAGAGCGAGGGAGGTTCCCGCTCATTGGTTTCCACTGCCGTTTCACTGACGGGCGATGGAGCTCCAGTTGACCGTTTGTCAGGCATAAAAGCAGAGCAGAGCGCAATCCAGGCGATATAAAAAACGGCTCTCATGTTACGAGCGGTTCATCTTCCATCTTCTACCCCTCGCTTCATATGGAATGATCATTTTTCCGCCATATCTAGCTATGTGAGTAAAAGTATCATCTATTTGTGATATAGGAGTATGTTTTATCTAGGTATTTTACGCATTACGGATTCCGTTCTTGTATACATTCTGTTTAATGTTTGTTTACTTATTCAATTTACTAAAAAGAGCATAATAATTGTTTTGGGAAGCTATATATGTTTTGTAATGTATATAATGTGTGCGTAAAGAGAAATTGGATTTCTGCGTTCTTACTTACCATACACTCATACAGTAAGCAGTCTGCCACCATGAGTCATATAGTATTATATGTAATAAACTGATACTCCCTATATTTCATTTTCGTTTTACTTTTTAGGTATGTTTTAAGAACGGGTTATGAATATACAAGTGATCTTTTTTTGACATTACTTTATGTCTTCCTTGCGATTCTAAAATCTTTGTTGGTTATATTTAAGTTCTCAGGGGAGCTAATTTTCCATGACTTTATATTTGAGCTGCATATATTAACACCCATGTGATCTTCTTGCATCTGAGTTAGAGAAAATAACATCAAGTCAAGGATCTAATTCTTCATACTACTTTTCCTCATAACTTTTTACAAACTGCCCATAAACAGATTTTTTTAACATGCTTACTGATTTTACTTGCCACAGAACAAATTATTTTCCTCTTGACTTCAGGAAAGAATCCGTATTGGTAAGGAACTTCTTGAAGAAAAGCGTATTGAGGAAGAAAATGAAAGAAAACAGTTAGTTTAGTACTCCAGGATTTTAGTTTTCTTTGACTAACTTTGTTTTCACGTTTGATTACTTTCTTACACTACATTGCCCTTGCAGATTGATAGCTTTACAGAAAGCGGAGAAAGATGTAGAGCTCACTGCCTGTTAGACCAGCTACGTAGATAGAGCAAATGAGGGTAAGTTTGGCTTCAAAAGAGGAGGTATTTTGTTTTCTTTGTCAAACTACTTGTGAAGTATGGGTATATAAACTTATGAATGGCAAGTTTGAAGCCAATATATATGTGTGTGTGTATCAATCAATGTAGTATTTGGATATCAAATAGTACTTTTTTTCTTTAATTTTCTGGAGAGTATCTACATGCATGCATGTATGTATAAGTGTGTGTGTGTATAAATGCATGTATATAACTGTTTATGTATATATCTTTCTTTTCTGTGTGTGTGTTCAGACAGTGTTAGCTAATAGACATCGTTCAATGCCTCATTTTTTATCGAGTGGCGGCGTATCGAAACAAGGCCTTTTAATAGACTTTGCTTATGAGTGGAAGCCGCTTCGGGTTTTTATCATAGTATTCTGGTATGATGTTTTCAGGGCAGAGAACATGGCACGTAAAGCTGCTGGAGAAGAACCACTACCTGAGGATGATCCTTCTAATCCCTTCTTTAAGCCAATTCCAGAGCCTTCTTGATTAGATAGCTTTATCATCACTAATCAGATTTCAAACTATTGCAATCAAATTAATGGGTATGTTTCCTTTCTGAGAAAAATCTGTATTTATCTTTAATGAAGTGGACATCCAATTGCCACCAAGTCTGCCTATGCATTTCAAAGTGATTATGCATAAGCTGATTACAATAAGAGCATTGATTTGAACTACATGTGCATTAAAACGCGGGACACTTATAATTTCCAGATTAAGAAAAGTTGAAGTCATAGGGTGAAATTTAGTAATAGCTTCATTTTTTATGTTTGCTCAGTTTTTATGTTTCACTCGGGGGGGGGGGGGGGGGGGGGGGTTCTCGAGTAAAGTCAGTGGGGCATTTTTGAGTGGAAAAATGGTCCAAAAATCCACTTGTGTTTATCTATAAGATTAAGGTCTTGATCATATAGTTGGGATTTGGTAAACTCTAAACCCTAATGCTAAAGCTATTTCATTGGGGGGAAGTATGTCCCGCTTGAGGTTCAAACTTCTGTATTTGTTTCTATTATTGTTATTAACCCTTTTTGTGTGGAATCTGATTTTAGTTGTTTTATGATATCAGGACTGGGAAAGAGTTGGAATAGAAGTTGAAGGAATCTGGAACATGAATGTCTATCAAGAGACGGGCATCTGCTCTGATAGGGTAAAGGAGAACAATGGGAGAGTAAGACGTTGAGAATGCCATGTAGAGCTGGCCTGGTCTCGTTTCCGCTCGTGGATGAACAAACAGTAAATCTCAAGAATGCAAGTGAGGAACCGCTTCGGAGGAGGGGGGTATTTATAGAAAAATCTCCAATGGTCACTACACGTGGCACCATATCAATGGCCACCTCAGCGGTCACCTTCCCAGCAGCCGATGAGGTGCCACCCCTTCAGAAATGGGCCGGGCTCGTGAACCAACGTATCAGCGGAGTAAAAGCCTACGGATCACACGGACAAAGAGCGCCCACAACGGCCTATATGCTTGCCGGCTTCACAAGTGCCAGCAAGCGCCCACAACGGCCTACACGCCTGCCAAGCTCACCAATGCCAACACTAAGGAGATAACTTCGGCCAGGAATGTCATGCACACCCATCGGCCCTCTGTAACGACCCTTGATGATAACTCTTTACATGCGATCTGTGCACAAGGGTTCTCCCACAGGGTTACCTTGGCCAGAAAATTGCCATGAGGGTTGGATTCAGGGGGACTACGGAGAGGCCGCTTCGGCCAGGGACTCAAGCAACTCCTTCACCCCTCACTCTCTTCGGCCTGAAGCAGTGGGGGACTGGGGGACTACATCGGCCTCAACAAAACAAAAAGGAAAAATGCAAAGAACAATGTAACCACAAAGCATGGCCACATCGTCCATGTATCACACTGCGCCTCGTCGGCCAAAGGCACATAACGTCATCAGCAACGGCCAACTGGCCACCTAAGGCAAGGACATTCATCGTCCTCCGCCAACAGTTAATCATAATGGGCTCTTCGGCCAGGAACACGAAAGCCAGTCAGCTACGGCCAAAAGGAGTGCGCAAGCACCCTCACCGGCCACCCAAAGGAAAGGACACCATCGTCCTCGAAGCAAGGTTCAACCTCAACGGCCTCATCGGCCCAAATGTAAACCTCAACCATCAACGTCCAAGAAAGGGAAAACGTGCCTTCAACGGCCACCATCGAAGCAGGACTCTCATCGTCCCCAAACGAACACACCAAGGAAACAACGGCCTCCCCGTCCACAGCGAGGAGCAGGTAACGGCCAAACACAAGATTACCAAGATGGAAACAGCGCCAGCGCCGCAACAGCTAACGGCCTGGGAGTGCCCGCATCGGCCAAAAGCACCAAAGCACGGGAATCTACTCTCCTTCACTTCGTCTACGTCTCAGCTTAGAGAGTGGGGGACTCCTGATGGAGTATATGGGTCTGAGCCCCCGGACCCACATACTCAGAAGAACAGAAAGCACAAAACACTGAGTGGCGCCCTCGTCGGCCAAGGGACCCCCGTCGGCCGAAAAGGTGCCAACTCAGATTATGGTCCTGAGCCCAAGGAACCCGAGTGCCCTCGTCGGCCGCGCCCTCGTCGGCCGTGCCCTCGTCGGCCACGCCCTCGTCGGCCACAAAGACCTCACAGAATCGGATTCTACACTTACCCATTTGTACAGCCCATTAGTGGCTTTGTATTCGGCCCAGTAGCGGTCCAGTTGTAAATGGGCCTCCCAAGCCCAAGGCTTGGGAGCCCAGCCCGTATTTTCTCTATAAATACTCCCCTTGGGAGTAGTTATAGGGGTTACAAAATCATTCTATTGAAGCATATTATTGCACTTCTCTCTCTAGCTCTCACTTCTCTCTAGATATACTCTATCAACCACCAACACCCTAAACTATGCCTACTTAAATGGGTTTTTGCTTCGTAACAAGACACATTCGTATTTCCATTTTCCATTACTCCATTAATGAAATCCTAAGCTATGCCTATTTAAATAGGGAAAAATTTACAAATAGGACCAAATCGTACTAATTTTCCAAAACTAAGACCGAAGATTAGAGTAAGACTCAACTACACCTGCATTGACCACAATACCCTTATCTTTAGAAAATAACAGACATTACATAGACAATAAATAGACAATAAGTAGACAATAAACAATCAATGAAGAAAATTGCTCTCCATAGGATCCTAACCGAACCCATCTTCTCCTGACTCTCTCCCATTTGTCCTTCTCAAATCCAGATCCACGCAGTTCGGTCTTCAGGTCTCCACCTCCGAAGCTAGGCCGCCGTCTCTCCTCCATCTTCCGGTCACCGCCTCTGAGTCGCCGCCTCCACCTCCAGATCATCGTCCGTTGCACGTCTTCTTCTTCTCAATTTCTGTCCGGCATATTGCGATGGAGACGAAGAGTCATGGGTTAAAAGAAGTCTAGGACTTCATATCATCGTTGAGGCTAGTTTTTTGGAGAAGGCAGTGGTCTGATGGGACTAGGGAAGGATGTAGCGGTGATGTGCGGCAATTGCAAGGGGATACAGTGCCGGTGTGGGGTGCTATGGCTGTTCAAGGACTGGGTTGGGAATGGGGCTACCGAGGCGGCGACGCTCATCGTCAGGGAATGGCAATGGTGTGCAATGGTTGGGGGCTGAATATGGTGGTGGGATGTGAGGTTGGGAGAGATAGGTTGTGGCAGAGGAGAATTGCGGAGGGCGAGTGCAGGAGGATAACGGGAAGGGTAAAAATGGAAGACAAGAATAAAGTTTCCTAAAACGGTGCTAAATAGATCCTACGCATGGGGAAAATATAGCTTAATCCTACTTTTGTAAAGTTTCTTTAATTTGATCCTATGAAGAGCAATTTTCTTAGATAGAAAGAAAATAAGTTGATAGAAAGACTGTCAACTAGCTTTGTAGTTTCCCTATATATCTTAGACTAGTTGGAGTGATGAGATATTAGGAGTCCAAAATGTTATAGATGTCATTTTTGGACTACTAATTTCATGTAGTGATAAGTTGTATAGAGGGAGGATTGACATTTGGAAAAAATGGAAAAGAAAAGAAAATGGAGAATGGGGCTGGTGTGGCCCGCGGTTGGCAGAGGGAAAAGCAATACGGCTGGCTAGTGGCTAGCTGTCTAGCTTTTGGTGCGCAGAAGGAAAAGGGAGTGGATGACCTCACAGTGATGCCGGGCTTATGTCACGGAGCACCACAACGGTCATCTATTTAAACAAATGGCAGATCAAACGGTTGTGATAATTTAGACACTGTTTGAACGGGAAAAAAATTAATGAAATTTGTTTTTTTTACATCGAAATGTGTCTTTTTTATTTTATTATTAATCAGAGAAAAAAATAAAAGGAAAACATTGTTTATAATAATTTAATTAATGTTTTGCTAAATTGATATGTAAAAAAATTGCAAAGTATATTTTATTGACGGTGCTGGAATGCAGAGAAATATGAGTCAAAACAATGTTTTCATATGGACAGAGTTCATTTTTGACATTTTGGACTCCACGTCACTCCAAATAGTCTTAGGGGGCCAAATCCAAATCTAAATCTAAATCAATGAAACCATCCATAAAGAGTTCCAATTCACAAAACAAATAGATTTCCTCCCTCCTTGCCTAAGAATCCTCATAGGCAAAAGCCCCCTTTAAATACACTTCATCACACAATTTTCTTATTAATCTGTTTTTTAAATTATGGTATGTTTGATATAAAGGGGGTGTCCCCAACATGGATTTGACGGATTTTAGTGGAATTTAGAATTACATCAGAATTTGGGTGTCCAGAATTTGGATTTCTATGAAGTCTATAAAATATAGGTGTTCTCAAACATTCCATGGATTGCAATTACGGAGTATTATTTTTTGGATGGATTTCAAAGGATTTTGATTGAAAATTTACATGTAAGAGATTCTATTTGAAATATTGCATACACCCCTCTAATTTAAAATCCTAACCCGAATAACAAATTCAATTGAGCTCAAACGAAAATGTCCAATTCAAAGTTCATTGTAGTGCACATCCAAAGTAGGGATCTAAATCCGTAGAAATCCATATAATTCTACCATATTGAAATCCATAGGATTCAGTAATTCACATTCTTTAACAATTCATTAAAATCATTATTGAGGGCATCCCCTAAGAACATGAACCGAGTCATTGAATTTGATTGAATATGATAACAAAAATTTAGGTTGCAATGAAACATCCCTTAAACTTATGACTAGTTATAAATCCTGCGCCTTCTAATGTTGATTATAATCTATTAATCTTTTGATGAAAAATCATGTCATAATTGCATATGTTCTTTTTGTGTATTATCTTTACCACTACGGAAGCGTGACAATAATGATTTTCAATAGGTTTTAGTGATTGCGGCAGTCAAGAGTTAGGTTTTTGTGCAGAGTGGTACAGATGGTACGGCCCCCTAACGAACCACCGCCATGGACTGCACGAAGTGCTAGGGTCTCTGAAAGTTATCCTTTTAGTTATTTCCTTTTGTCATTTGGATTCTTATTAACGTTTATGTTGTTAGTGTTGTCATTTGTTTCGAAGCTTTGCCTGTTTTTATGTCGTTGGGAGTATATGGATCTGACGGAGTATATGGCCCAGGGACCCCCCGGCCCACATACTTCCGCTATTACATTCAGGCCCAACAGGCCCAAAACGAGCCAAGTCCAGCAGAATGGAGCTCTAAGCAGCCCACGATGCATGAAGGGAGTGCCTTCGGCCCATGGCCAAAGGCTATCAATAACGGAATTGGTTTCAGCAACATCACGGGAGAAGAAGGCTTGAAAACCAAGCCCTCAGCAATTGGAGCCCTCTGTACTATGAGGCCCCCGGTACGCAGAGCCTTCAGACTATCATCTACAGCCGAAGGCATCTTCCTCGACAGGATTGGAGGCTCGAAGGAGTGCAGGATCGCCGAGGGGTCCAAGACCGCCTCGGTGGTAAGGCTCTCCAAAGACCCCAAAGACCCCCGCCTCGGTGGTAAGGCTCTCCAAGACCGCCTCGGTGGCAAGGCACCACTCCATGCCGATGATGCAAGACATCAAATCAACCAGGCCCACTCGGCCTGTGTTCGTTCGCAGGGGGCGGAGGCCCTCCCGAAGGATCACAGGGACGAAATCATTGAAGCCCTCCAACGCCGCCTTGATGAGATGGAGGCCTGTCAAGCGCACATGACAGCTTCCGCCTCCCAGGCGAACCCCAAATACGCCGCTATGCTGGCCAAAATGGAGGAGATGCAGAAGAAAATGGCTGAGGGCTCTGGGGAACCCGTCGTTCAACTCCGGACTAGGACGCCATTTACCCCAAGGGCATTGGCGGCCCAAATTTCAGAAAAGTACCGAGGGCAGCCCATCAGGCTCTATGAAGGGAACACGAATCCCCAGGAGCATTACAGCAGATATCAGAACAATATGATGATGGTGGGGGCATCAGACGAATATCTGTGCCGTTGGTTCCTCTCCACCTTAGAGGGACCAGCGTACGAATGGTTCAATCGATTGCCCGAATGGTGCATCGATTCATGGAAGGAACTCGCACAACGTTTCTTGACGCAGTTTGCAGGGAGGCGCCGGTCTAGAAAACACTTCTCCCACTTGTTGACGGTGAGACAAAGAAAGGAGGAGACCTTTCAGGACTTCTTGGAACGCTGGAGGACGGAGGCAGATAAAGTTGACGGCGCTGACGATGGGACCCTCCTGGCCCTCCTTCAAACAGTCCTCCGCCCCGGGAACTTTTCAAGAAGCCTCATCATCGAACCTCCCCACGATTACATAAGGGCCCTACAGCGGGGGGACCGGTACGCCGAGGCTGAGGAAGTGGGAAAATGCCATCACAACCCCGATCAGCAACGCCCTCGGCCGGATGACAAAGGCAACAGGGGGCTGGGGGCTTCCCCAAATCAATCCAAAGGCTCGGCACCCCCCAGTGATCGCCCCCGACATGGCAAAGCCAAGCCCGGGGGAGGTTACAAGGGCAACCCGAAGGCTCGGGCCCAACCCATTCTCTTGGAGCACCCTCGGACGCCCTTAACACACCCCGTCAGTGTAATCCTAGACTTCACCGAAGAGAGGGGCCTGGTGGAGCGAGACTCTCGCGCTCCCCCGGAGGTGTATGCCATCAACCCCAATTATCCTTACCGTCGGTTCCATCGCAACCAAGGGCACATGACTGATGACTGCCACTAGTTGAAGGCGACCATTGAAAAGTTAATACAAGCGGGCCATCTGTCCCAATTTATCTGAAGCCCTCAGCACCAAGGGCCCCCACGAGGTCCACCAACGAGGGCAAATGCCTGGGTCAACCCGAACACCATCCCCCTCGGTGATCCGAAGGGTAAGAAAAGGGAAATCGGGAATCTCGATGAAGAGGAGGAGTACAACCAGTTCTAGGAGAAAAAGCGCCACATCCACATGATCACCGGGGGCAACACAGAGGGGACTCCACCAGCCAAAGGAAGAAGTGGGCTCAATCGCTTTACGTGGGGGAAGTCACTCATATGCCCCCGTAAAGCGGCTGAGGGAGGAAACCCATTACATTCACCAATGCTGATCTCCCCCCGGTTTCCTCGCCTCATAGGGATGCCCTGGTAATCCAAAGTGAGATCAACGACACCATCATCCACAGAACTTACGTTGATACAGGTAGCTTCGTCAACGTAATGTACCTCATCACTTTCAAGGAGCTACACCTGGAGAGGGGGTCCCTTCGGCCTATCAAGACCCCCCTGTCCGGATTCACCGGAGACACCATTGATTCCGAGGGGATAATAACCCTCCCGGTACTTTTTGGCGACGGGCTCCATAGATCCAAGCTCGAGGTGGAATTCGTCGTCGTTAACATTGACTGCGCTCACAACGTCATCCTCGGTCGGCCTGCCCTTGAGGACCTAGAGGCCATCATCTCCATGAGGCACCTATGTCTGAAATTCCCAGCCGAAGGAGGCATCGGGTACTCAAGGGGGAACCAAAAATTGGCCCGCGCCTGCTACCTTGAAATCACTAAGAAGGGTAGTAAAACTGAGTTCCGAGTAGACACCATCACCGGAACTATGGAGGAAGAAGAAAAGAGGTCGAGGGCAGAACCAACCAAAGAGGTAGAAGACTTTACGCTCGATCCGACCAAGCCGGAAAGAGTCGTGAAGATTGGAGCCAAGCTCCCTGAAGATTTGAAGACCGGCATCACGGATGCCCTCCACGCCTACTCCATTGTTTTTGCATGGGGGCCGGAGGACATGCCGGGGATCAGCCGAAGGGTCATCACTCACCGCATGTCGGTGGACCCTTCGTCCAAACCCATATAGCAGAGAAGAAGGCCCCTCTCGGCCGAGAGAAGGGGCTTCGTGAAGAAGGAGGTTGCCATGCTCCTCTCCATCAAACATATCAAGGAGGTGGAATACCCCTCATGGCTGGCCAACGTGGTCCTCGCACAGAAGCCGCCCACCTTCCGCATGTGCGTGGACTACACAAATTTGAATAAGGCATGCCCAATGGACCCTTTTCCTTTACCAAACATTGATCAGTTGGTAGATGAGACAACGTGGTGTTAAATCATGTCTTTCCTCGATGCCTTCCGCGGATACCACCAGATTTTCATTACGAAGAGGATGCTGAAAAAACAGCCTTCATGACACCTGAAGGCATCTTTTTGCTATCTTGTGATGGCCTCCGACCTCAAGAATTCTGGCGCCACCTACACCCGTATGGTGGCCAGGGTTTTTCAAGCAGTCTTAGGACGCACCATGGAGGCCTATGTTGACGATATGACCGTCAAGAGTAAGAAATCAAACACCCACGCCGAGGACCTCCGGGAGATATTCGCCATCATGCAAAAATACAACCTTCGGTTGAATCCAAAGAAGTGCACCTTCGGCGTACAAGTAGGGAAGTTTCTTGCCTACATGGTTAGCCGAAGGGGTATTGAGGTCAACCCTAAAAAAATTCAAGTCATCATCGACATGGAGCCCCCATGTAACGTGAAGGAGGTTCAGAGATTGACGGGTCGCCTAGCGGCCCTCAACCGTTTTCTCTCCAAATCAGCGGAAAAGGCCCTCCCCTTCTTCCAAATCATGAGGAAGGCAGCGGGTTTCCAATGGACAACTGAGTGTCAGGGGGCCTTCGACGAGCTCAAAAAGTACCTCTCTTCTCCTCTTGTACTCTCCAAGCCCAAAACAGGAGAGACCTTGTATTTATACCTTGGCGTCAGCCCCGCAACCATCAGCTCAGTACTCATCCGGGAGGAAGATGGCGTCCAACATGCCATCTTCTATGTTAGCAAGACCCTCAGGGAGGCGGAACTCAGGTACTCCCCCATGGAGAAAACGGTACTAGCCATTGTTTGGACCGTCAAGAAGCTTGGCCACTACTTCCAAGCTCATCCGGTCCAGGTCCTCACACAACAACCCCTCAACGCTTTGATGAGGAGCCCCACCAGCTCCTCCAGAATGGTAAAATGGGCTATCTTCCTAAGCCAGTACAACATCGACATCCATCCGAGGCCCGCCATAAAGGGCCAAGCCCCGGCGGACTTCGTAACGGAGTGCACAACAAGGTCGGCTACAGATGAGGAGCCCTCGGCTCCCTCAGATGATTGGTGGACCCTCTATACCGATGGCTCCTCAGCCACCAAAGCATGCGGAGGAGGGGTAGTTCTCGTTACTCCCGAAGGCTTCCGCGCCTACTATGCCCTCCGTTTCTCCTTCAAAGTCTCCAACAACGAAGCAAAGTATGAGGCCCTCCTCTGTGGCCTTCGGTTGGCGGCCAACATGAAGGCCAGACAAATCCATGTGAAATGCGACTCCAAGTTAGTCGTTGGCCAAATTTCCGGAGAATATGAGGCCAAGGAAGGAAGAATGAAGCAGTACAAGGAAGCGGCCAAGGAGTTGCTTAAGGTCTTTGAGGCCCATTCTCTCACTCAAATACTGAGGGCTCAAAACTCTGAGGCCGACATTTTATCAAAGCTCTCGGATGAATCCCCAGAGCACCTCTCGAAGATTGCGAGAATTGAGGAGCTTAGCCCCTCAAGCATACACACCAGCCCCATCATGCAAATACATCAAAGGCAAGAGGACTGGATCTCAGACATCATGGCCTTCATCACCACAGGGCAACTGCCCGAGGATGAGGCCCGCGCAAAACTAGCAAAGCTGAGGACTCCCACCTACACCATTGAAGATGGAAGGCTCTACAAGAGATCCTATAACTGTAACACCGTCCCCAAATGTATTTACCTTTAAGCGAATAATTTATTGAACCCTATGAATTTTTTGGTGAATTTACGAGGTTGTGAAATTGTATTAATTTTTTCGGGTGAATAGTAAAATGCACGTGGGGCCCACATCGGGAGTGGGGACCGCCCGATAATATCGGGACCACATATTAGATTCTTCTGGGCCTAGAAAATACGCATATGGTGGTGGATACCCAAATTGGTCCATAGCAATGGCACAGGGTTGACCGGTTGGTCAAACGGGGCCAAATTATCGGTATCGGCAATTTCTCGGATAACGGCCCAAAAAGGGATTCCGGAGATTTCTTAATTAAAATTGGGGAATCATATTGATTCTAAGGTCCAATAATGATTTGGAACAAGTGTTATATTTTATTTGACCCGATAAAATAAAATATACTTAAAACAGTCCGGAAAAATACAACTTTCGGGACCGATTGTACACTTCTGGACAAAAAGGGTTCACCTCCCACATGGGTGGGGGCCAACCCACGATTTTAGCCTCATTATTCAGGGCCTGAGCAGGCTGGTAGGAGAATTGAGGTGGGAGAGGACTGATTTGAGATGTTTGGCATCAAAACAAATCATGGTGGCCCTCCTCCCTTTCACTCATTGCCCAAAAGGAGACAAAGAGGCATTCCTACCCATCCCCCTCCTCACTAGTTCGGCCAGCAGCAAGGGAAAGGAGGAAAGAACCTCTACAACTTCATCTCCATAGCCCCAAATCCGAACTCAAGCTCAAGGGAGTCCAAGAAGAAAGTTTAAGAAGGAAAAAGCTAGGAAAAAGTGTGAAAATTAAGGTAATGACCTTATCATAACTTTTCCTTTGTTTTTCTTCTAGCATATAAGATATATATCATATGAAAGACCTTTAGTATTGTTCTACATGATTTAAGTGTGGAATAATGGATTGGAAAGTAATTCTAAGTCCAAAAACGGACTTAGAAGCCAAATCGACCGGTTTGCCGGAAAATAACCTTTTATAGGTTATTTGTGTTGATATGGGTTTTGTGATGATAAAACCTTGTTAGGAACTTGATTTAAAGTATTTTTGAGCTTCGCCGGAGTTTCGTCGGAGTTGGTCAAAGTTCGCCGGAGTTGGTCAAAGTTCGCCGGAGTTGGTCAAAGTTCAATCGAGAAACGTAGAACGCACTTAAGCTTAATTAAGGTGAGGATGACCGACTATGTTACTTATAATCTTTGGGTTAATTTCATGGGATTTCCTAAGTGAATACAAATGTGATGTGTATGAGTTGTTAATGGTTAATAATGCCTAAATGAAACTACTATTGATTATAAGTATAGTATGCATGATTCACAAATTTATGAATAAATTGTGTATGTTTAGATGTTGTGAATATGTGTGTATGATGGTTGTACCAACCATGAATATCATTTGAGATAGTATACTTTGATGCCATGAGGAGAAGCTATGAGGGTATGAAAGTGATACTTGATATTAAGGCCAATTGTGCAAGAAGAAAGAATTATATTGAAATAAATAAATAACTAGCATTGAAGGTTGCTACTACCAGCCGCTGCTTCGGGAAGTTTCTGAGGAGAAGACTTGGTTCGTGCTTCTCCCGTTCTTGTTTTGAAAACAATATGAATAATGCTCATGGATAATATTTTCTGAACAATTACTTTGGGGGCTTGCATGCCTAATTATGCCAAGTGTGGCTTGAACACTTGTATCAATTGTTTCCGCTGCTTTAATAAATGTTTTACATTATGTTTGTTTATGGATGTACTATGTGTGAATGGTATTCAAGACGCCTTGTATAGTATGGATGAGTCGGACTGCGGTTGACTATTCGTACTGTACGGCGGGTTGTTGACGTGTCCGGGTAGGTCCGGGGCGTGACAATTTAAATGGTATCAGAGCCTTAGTCCGTAAACATCATAATGAAGCTTCAAAATTTCTTTTTGAAAATGAATTTGAAAAACCATGAGCATAAGTTTTGTACTTATAGAACTTTTGGTACTTGAGTTGCAATGCCTCTAATTGTTAAGATGGTACCCTTAACAATTGGTATGCCGGTGATTTGAGCCAAAGGATGTCTTTAAGTACCCATCCGTCATTTGACATTCGATACGAGTCTAATGACTCATTCTAATTTCTTTCAGAAATGGAACCAGTTGGAAGGATCACTAGAAGGAACCCGTTGGGCCGTGCACCGGGTGGGTCTGAGCGCGGTAGTCGGGGGTCCTCTAGGGGATCAAGAGGAAGGGGCCGTGGAGGCCAACGTCAAACCGTGAGCGATGGCCACGCCGACACCGAAAGTGAGACCTATTGGTCCTATGAGGACTCAACCTACCAGCCGGGGACTGAGCCAGTTGAGACCCCGTACGAAGGGAGTGATGATGATGAGAGTGATGAGGAGGAAAGTGGCTCCTTGGCCAGGATCGAAGCACTGCTCCAACAGTATCATCGGGAGCGCGAAGAAAGGAGGGCGCGCCGAAGGCACCGTGCAGGGCAACCTTCGGGCGGGGCTGCAAGAGGGAGGAGCTATTGCGATTCAAGGACCCATGTGGAAGCGCATGGAAGTCGGGGCGATGGAGGTCCAGCCATAAGGATCTCCAAATACATCAAAGAGGCGAGGGACTTAGGGTGCAAACCGTTCGATGGGACGGGAGACATCTCGGTTGCCGCACAGTGGATCGAGAGGCTGAACGAGGCAGCCCTTGACATGCAGCTCACCCCCGATTTTAAACTGAGAATCGCGGTAAGGTTACTCGAAGGGTTGGCATCCAAATGGTGGGATGGAACCAAGGGTAAGTATGGCAGCACTGTCACATGGGAGGATTTCCGACAAGAATTCTTTGCCCAGTATTACTCTGACTTCGAAGTAAACGCCAAGGTGAGGGAATACACTCTCCTAACCCAAGGTGGTAACATGACGGTGAAAGAACTTGAGAACAAGTTCAGGGACCTTGCTGATCACATACCGGAATATGCTTGTGATGAAAACCGAATGGTGAATCATTTTTGGGAGGCTTTGGATTTGGAGATACGCGACAGGGCAACTAAATTGCCCAACATGACTTTCAGCCAAGTGGTCGCCCAAGGGTTGAAAGGAGAAAAGCAATGGGAGGAGAGGAAGAAGAGAGATGCCGAAGAGGCTAAGAAAAGAAAGTGGGAAAGCCATGGCCCCCAAGGTCCCAACAAGAAGGGGAACCATGGGGGAGGTGGATCGTTCAGGGCACCGGCAGCACCATCCAAGGGAAACCCGGCCACGAGCGGGCACTACTCGGGCTCACAAGCCCCAACGACGCCCAAGTGCAGGAATTGCAACAGGAACCACACCGGTAAGTGTCGTGATCCACCACGGTGCTACCAATGCGGGAGTACAGGGCATATTAAGCCAAACTGCCCTCAACTTGGTGGGAACCGGGGGTCAGGACCAAGCGGCGCTGCCACGGCAAGTAGGAACCGGGCCGGAGCATCTCATGCCAGTGTGGGACAGGGGGGAGCAAGCACGAGCAATGCGCCGTCCGTGAATCAAGGAAGAACTCAAGCTAGAGTTTATGCGATGACGGAGGCGGACGCACGTGCTAACCCGGACTCCGTGGCGGGTAAGATCTTAAACTCACGATATTACTCCATTGTATGCAATAGGAGTGTTTGTAAGGTGCAAAATTTGTAACCCCGACGGTTTGGTCGGGATTGTGGGGAAAAGGGGAGGAAAAACCCCCGCCCTGGGCGAATGCCGCCCGGCATTTGACGAAAGCCGCCCGACTTTCGTCTTGAAATATTGAGAAAATGCTGCGGCGACGAATGCCGGCCGGTTTCCACCAAAAGCCACCCGGCTTTCGTCATCATTTAATCAGGAAAATTCTCGCAACCAAAAACCGGCCGGCTTTTGTAAAGACCGGCCGGCTTTCATAAAGGCCTGACCTGGGAATTTTCTCGCAGCTGAAAGCCGCCCGGCTTTGGCGAAAGCCGCCCGGCTTTCGTCGGGCCTAGGAATTACTGCGCTGCTGAAACCCGGCCGGGTTTCGTATAAACCGGCCGGCTTCGAAACCATTCCCTGAATAAAAACCACGACGACGAAAACCGCCCGGCTTCCGTAAAAGCCGCCCGACTTTCGTGATTAAAAACTTGGAATTTTTCTCGCAGTCGAAAACCGGCCAGCTTTCGTGAAAAGCGGTCGGCTTTCACCCGGATTGATCCTAAAACGGTCCTAAAGGTTAGAAACCGGGAAATTTCGGGAGGGTATCGAACGGACCCCACCCGAAACACAACCAACATACTCTACGACTTAAGAAACGAACCTAATTACTAGATAGTGTGTCTTACATTACTTATGAATGTAGGAACACTAAAGATAAACGGGAGAGAAGCAAGGATCCTTATTGATACCGGGGCGCAACGATCATTTGTGAGTGAGGCGTTCGCCAGCGGATTCAACGGACCACTTGTACCGATGACTCAAACCCTATTGGTGTCCACGCCTCTAGGGGATGATATCGAGAGAAAGCCACTATCCATCGTGTGAGGTGGAGGTGGAGGGACAGAACTTGACGTGTGATTTCGTACCGCTGAGTATGATCGAGTTTGATGCAATCCTCGGGATGGATTGGCTTGAGAAACATCATGCTAGGGTCGATTGCTACACGAAGATTCTTGAACTCGAAGGCGGTGAAGGGTCGACCTTACGCTTCGAGGGAGATAGAGGCAAATCAAACTGTTGTATCATATCCGCCGTGAGAGCAAGGAATATGATGAGAAAGGGGTGCCACGCATACCTAGCGTATGTGGTGGACAAAACCAAAGAAGAGATAGACATCAATGATGTGAGAGTTGTGTGCAAGTATCCGGATGTCTTCCCAAAAGACTTGCCGGGAATTCCACCCGATAGGGAGATTGAGTTCGTGATCGAGGTCGAACCCGGTACCAAACCAATCTCTATACCGCCATACAGAATGGCACCCGCTGAACTTAACGAGTTGAAAACCCAATTGCAAGAGCTATTGGATAACGGTTTCATAAGGCCGAGTCACTCTCCGTGGGGAGCACCGGTCCTTTTCGTGAAAAAGAAGGATGGAACACTTCGTATGTGCATTGACTATCGTCAACTGAACAAGGTCACAATCAAAAATAGGTATCCCTTGCCTAGAATTGATGACTTGTTTGATCAGCTCCGAGGGGTGACGGTGTTTTCGAAGATTGACTTGAGGTCGGGGTACCACCAACTAAAAATAAAGGAAGATGACATACCGAAGAGTGCATTCCGCACAAGGTATGGTCATTTCGAGTTCCTAGTCATGTCGTTCGGGCTAACCAATGCCCCGGCGGCATTCATGGACATGATGAACCGTGTGTTCAGTGAATACTTAGATCAATTCGTGATAGTATTCATTGACGATATTTTGATATACTCCAAGAGTGAGGGGGAGCATGAAGATCATTTGAGACTTGTACTTGAACGGCTAAGGGAAAAACAACTCTTTGCCAAATTCTCTAAATGCGAGTTTTGGCTCAAAGAGATCGGGTTCCTCGGGCATGTCGTGTCAGGTTCGGGCATTGCGGTGGATAAAGCCAAGATAGAAGCCATTATGAATTGGGAGAGACCCAAGAACGTGAAAGAAATACGTAGTTTCCTCGGTTTGGCAGGATATTATCGTAAGTTTGTTGAAAAATTTTCTGTGTTGACGTCTCCATTGACAAAGCTCACAAAGAAAGGGGCCAAGTTCATATGGGACGACAATTGTGAGAAAGGGTTTCTCGAACTAAAGAAACGGCTTACAGAAGCACCAGTCCTCGCTCTACCCACACAAGGGATAGGGTACGACATATACAGTGACGCTAGCATCCAAGGGCTTGGATGTGTTCTAATGCAAAACGGTCGGGTGATTGCCTATGCTTCAAAGCAATTAAAGAAACACGAGGCAAACTACCATACCCATGATCTAGAGTTGGGAGCGGTAGTGTTTGCACTGAAAATTTGGCGGCATTATCTCTATGGGGAGACATGTCACATTTTCACCGATCATAAAAGCTTGAAGTATGTATTCACTCAAAAAGAGTTGAATATGAGACAAAGGAGATGGATGGAGTTGATCAAGGACTATGACTTGATCATCGACTATCATCCCGGGAAGGCCAATGTAGTAGCCGATGCATTGAGCAGAAAGAGTACATCGGGGACGTTACTCACGTGTCTACGCTCACTAAGGGCACAAGTGGAGGTGTCCACGAGTGGGGTCCTCATTGCTAGATTCGAGGTTAGGCCTACATTGCTGAGTGAGATCAGTAGATGTCAGGCCACTGATGAAGAATGTCAGAAGATCCGTGAACAAATCCTGGAGGGACCTGTTGAGAACTTTCGGGTACGTGATGACGGTCTTTTATTGTTTAAAGGCCGTGTATGCATACCAAGGAATGAGGAGCTCCAAAAGTCTATACTGGAGGAGGCTCATTCTTCGGCGTATGCCATGCATCCAGGAGGTACCAAAATGTACCGAGACTTGAAGGAAAGTTACTGGTGGTCGGGTATGAATAGGGACATCGCAGAGTACGTGAGTCGGTGCCTTACTTGCCAACAAGTCAAGGCGGAACATCAGCACCCGGCGGGACTTTTACAACCACTTACCATTCCAGAATGGAAGTGGGAGCACGTGACCATGAACTTCGTGGTGGGGCTACCACAAACAGTGAACAACTATGATGCAGTATGGGTAGTGGTTGATAGGCTCACCAAGAGTGCACACTTTTTGCCTATCAACATTACTTATCCTCTTGAAAGATTGGCAAAGCTATACACGGAGGAGATTGTGAGACTGCATGGAGTTCCGATATCCATTGTCTCGGATAGGGACCCACGTTTCACATCCCGATTTTGGCCAAAATTTCAAGCATCTTTGGGTACGAAGCTAAAGTTTAGCACAACCTTTCACCCATAGACGGATGGGCAATCCGAGAGGGTGATACAGGTTCTGGAAGATATGCTTAGGGCATGTGCTCTGGAGTTCCAAGGGAGTTGGGACAAGCATTTGGCTCTGGTCGAGTTCGCCTATAACAACAGTTATCAGGCGAGTATTGGCATGCCTCCATACGAGGCATTGTATGGGAGGAAATGTAGAACCCCGTTGTGTTGGGACGAGGTGGGCGAAGCCAAGCTCGAGGGGATCGAACTTGTCGAAATCACCAAGGCTAAGGTGAAGGTCATTCAGGAGAGACTCAAGGCTGCCCAAGATCGGCAAAAGATTTATGCTGACAAACGACGCAGGCCATTGGAGTTTGAGGTCGGTGATAAGGTCTTTCTAAGGATTTCTCCTTGGAAAGGTATCATCAGATTTATATCGAGGGGAAAACTTAACCCCCGATACATTGGCCCATTTGAAATCCTTGAAAGGATAGGGGCCGTAGCTTACCGTATCAAATTGACGTCAGAACTTGAGAAGATACACGACGTGTTCCATGTATCGATGCTGAAGAAATACGTGCGAGATCCGTCTCATATCCTTGAGAAACCACCGGTAGAGATACGTGAGGACCTACAATATGCGGTGGAACCGGTGAAGATTGTGGGTCAACAGGTAAAGAAACTGAGGAACAAGGAGATCCCTATGGTAAAGGTCCTTTGGAGGAGTGATCGAGTCGAAGAAGAAACCTGGGAGACTGAGGTCTCAATGAGGGAGCAGTACCCTTTCCTTTTCGACTAGACACGCGGATTTCGGGGACGAAATCCCAAATAAGGGGGGGTGAACTTGTAACACCGTCCCCAAATGTATTTACCTTTAAGCGAATAATTTATTGAACCCTATGAAATTTTTGGTGAATTTACGAGGTTGTGAAATTGTATTAATTTTTTCGCGTGAATAGTAAAATGCACGTGGGGCCCACATCGGGAGTGGGGACCGCCCGATAATATCGGGACCACATATTAGATTCTTCTGGGCCTAGAAAATACGCATATGGTGGTGGATACCCAAATTGGTCCATAGCAATGGCACAGGGTTGACCGGTTGGTCAAACGGGGCCAAATTATCGGTATCGGCAATTTCTCGGATAACGGCCCAAAAAGGGATTCCGGAGATTTCTAAATTAAAATTGGGGAATCATATTGATTCTAAGGTCCAATAAGGATTGGGAACAAGTGTTATATTTTATTTGTCCCGATAAAATAAAATATACTTAAAACAGTCCGGAAAAATACAACTTTTGGGACCGATTGTACACTTCTGAACAAAAATGGTTGACCTCCCACATGGGTGGGGGCCAACCCACGATTTTAGCCTCATTATTCAGGGCCTGAGCAGGCTGGTAGGAGAGTTGAGGTGGGAGAGGACTGATTTGAGATGTTTGGCATCAAAACAAATCATGGTGGCCCTCCTCCCTTTCACTCATTGCCCAAAAGGAGACAAAGAGGCATTCCTACCCATCCCCCTCCTCACTAGTTCGGCCAGCAGCAAGGGAAAGGAGGAAAGAACCTCTACAACTTCATCTCCATAGCCCCAAATCTGAACTCAAGCTCAAGGGAGTCCAAGAAGAAAGTTTAAGAAGGAAAAAGCTAGGAAAAAGTGTGAAAATTAAGGTAATGACCTTATCATAACTTTTCCTTTGTTTTTCTTCTAGCATATAAGATATATATCATATGAAAGACCTTTAGTATTGTTCTACATGATTTAAGTGTGGAATAATGGGTTGGAAAGTAATTCTAAGTCCAAAAACGGACTTAGAAGCCAAATCGACCGGTTTGCCGGAAAATAACCTTTTATAGGTTATTTGTGTTGATATGGGTTTTGTGATGATAAAACCTTGTTAGGAACTTGATTTAAAGTATTTTTGAGCTTCGCCGGAGTTTCGTCGGAGTTGGTCAAAGTTCGCCGGAGTTGGTCAAAGTTCGCCGGAGTTGGTCAAAGTTCAATCGAGAAACGTAGAACGCGCTTAAGCTTAATTAAAGTGAGGATGACCGACTATGTTACTTATAATCTTTGGGTTAATTTCATGGGATTTCCTAAGTGAATACAAATGTGATGTGTATGAGTTGCTAATGGTTAATAATGCCTAAATGAAACTACTATTGATTATAAGTATAGTATGCATGATACACAAATTTATGAATAAATTGTGTATGTTTAGATGTTGTGAATATGTGTGTATGATGGTTGTACCAATTATGAATATCATTTGAGATAGTATACTTTGATGCCATGAGGAGAAGTTATGAGGGTATGAAAGTGATACTTGATATTAAGGCCAATTGTGCAAGAAGAAAGAATTATATTGAAATAAATAAATAACTAGCATTGAAATATTAGTTGGAAATATTAGTTGAGAAATGGATGAATTAGATCCTAAGAATTTGAATTATAAGGAATCGGTGATTATGAGCCGGGCTCAAGACCGATGTAGATGACGGTGATTATGAGCTGGGCTCTAGACCGTAGTAGATGACGGTGATTATGAGTTGGGCTCTAGACCGTGGTAGATGACGGTGATTATGAGCTGGGCTCTAGACCGTGGTAGGTGACGGTGATTATGAGCGGGGCTCTAGACCGTAGTAGATAACGGTGATTATGAGCTGGGCTCTAGACCGTGGTAAATAATGATGAATTGATACTAAATGAACAGATTAACTAAAATGTAATAATGCTCTAGATTGAGGGCCTCAGAGATTTAAACTTTAATTATACTTAGTATAGTTGTCATTGTACTTGTCAAATGCTTCCAAGTACTGACCTCCCCTTCACGGGGGAGGCCACCTCACAGTTTCAGGTAGAACTTGAAGGTTGCTACTACCAGCCGCTGCTTCGGGAAGTTTCTGAGGAGAAGACTTGGTTCGTGCTTCTCCCGTTCTTGTTTTGAAAACAATATGAATAATGCTCATGGATAATATTTTCTGAACAATTACTTTGGGGGCTTGCATGCCTAATTATGCCAAGTGTGGCTTGAACACTTGTATCAATTGTTTCCGCTGCTTTAATAAATGTTTTACATTATGTTTGTTTATGGATGTACTATGTGTGAATGGTATTCAAGACGCCTTGTATAGTATGGATGAGTCGGACTGCGGTTGACTATTCGTACTGTACGGCGGGTTGTTGACGTGTCCGGGTAGGTCCGGGGCGTGACAATAACGGTATGCTACTCTGATGTCTTCATCAAGATGAGGCCGAGGTTGCCATGGAAGAAGTACACAGTGGCACTTGCTCAGCTCACCAGGGACCCTTCTCCATGTCCCAGAGGCTCATAGTCCACGGATACTTCTGTCAACACTTTCAGAAGGCCCCCGGCAGGCCAGCAGTCAACTATGCCCCCATCAGCACATCCATATCCTTCTCTAGGTGGGGCATAGACCTTGTGGGCCCTCTGCCGATGGGTACCTCCAACAACAGGTACATCATCGTTTCCATTGACTACTTCACCAAGTGGGCGGAGGCTGAGCCCCTCGCCAGCATCACCGAGGCTAGATGCCGCCACTTTGTCCTCAAGAACATCCTCACAAGGTTTGGCGTCCCTCAACAAATCATCTCCGACAATGGGACTCAATTTGAGGCAACCCCCTTCTATGCCCTCCTAGAGGCATGGGGCATCAAGCATACCTTCTCATCCGTTGCCTACCCTCAAGGCAACGGACAAGTGGGGAACACCAACCGAACTTTACTTGAGGGCCTAAAAAAGAAACTTGAAGCCGAAGGGGGAGGCTAGGTAGAAGAACTTCACAACATCCTATGGGCCTACGGCACCACCCCTCGGTGGGCAACAGGTGAAACACCCTTCTCCCTTTGCTACGGATTCGAAGCCAAGGCTCCCACTGAGGTGACCCTTCCTACCCGAAGGGTGACCCAATACGATCCCGAAATCAACGATGCCAACATGGCCCTCGACCTCCACCTCATCTCCGAACGCTGAGAGCAAGCCTTCCTAAAGGCGGAAAACTACCGAAGGCATGTCAAAGGCTACATCGATGCCAAGGTTCATTCCCGAGAATTTCAGGTGGGGGACTATGTTCTCTGAAGAAGGGAAGCTAGCCAACCAAGCGAGGTCAACAAGATGGCCCCAAAATTTGAAGGGCCCTACATCGTCACAGCCATCATCAAACCCGGAACGTACGAGCTCAAGCGCCCTAATGGGGCCGAGGTCCCTAGACATTGGAATGTGCACCACCTTGTCAAATTCTATCAGTAACGTATGAGCGGCCAAGCCCTCATAACTTACCAATGTATTATCCAACGGCCCAAGGCCTCCTATTTTCCAAGAACAAATACATGTTGAAGACACCAAAAGTACCAAATACACAACACACATGAGCGGCCAAGCCCTCATGCAAGCACCTGACCCAAGGCCTTATCACAAGCAAGACCCTTCGGCACCAAGTGCCGAGGGTAGACACTCCAATGAAGAAAACTCCAAGTGTTTAAAAGGAAGACCCTTCGGTACCAAGTGTCGGGGGTACTGTATGCAAAAATAACACCAAGTGTTAACAATAAAGCCGTACCCCTTGAGGACGCATTTATGCCGAAGGCCCCACCTATCGGCGCCGGAGGTACCAAGTACCCCGACCTTTTTGCAACTAATATGCAAATAAAACCCTTCCTGAAACGCTTTCTGCACCATTACCCAAAGGGAATGACAGTCAACTAATATGCCTCAGGATTCGACTTTCAAAGCGAAACGCTCCCCACGCCATTACCCCAAGGGAATGGTAGGCAACAGACTATGTCTTGTGCTGAGGGGACGACTTTCAAAACTGAGGCGCTTTCCGTGCCATCCCCGAAGGGGAGACAGACAACAAACTATGCCTTGTGCCAAGGAAACGACCCTCGATCCCCTCGGAACCCGGAAGGTTAACCCCGAGGGGGGAGCCAATGGTGTATACTGTTGCCTCCCAATAGGCCAAGCCTTACCAAGAAACCAAGTTTCTTGAAGCCTTCTCTTTACTACCAAAAAATACAATGGAATGAAGGGGAGTAGACTCAACGAGTGATCAATGAGTACACAACCCCAATAAACCAAAACGGAACACCCTTCGGCGCCCAGCAAGAAGGATCATTACAAGGCTGGAAGATCATACTGAGGGCTCCCCACGGGAACACCTCCGGTACCTCGAAGCTACTAATCCAAAAAGGCTACTATTCAACAAAAGCCGTGAAAATTGGCTAAGTCCACAAACTGGTTACCTCCGACATCAACCAACATCGAAGGCTCCAAACCCACACAAGGGTTAAAATTCCTAAGTACAAACAACGATTGCCCCCGACATTTCAAGGCAATACCGAGGGAATACTCCAAAGTGTTGCCCGAGGGCATTTGTCTTTATCATACTATGGTTGTGCTACAAAATTCCTAAGTCCACACTTTGGGATCTACCAAATCCGGAGGCTCATATGCTACTCAGGGGCTGCTACACATTACCGGAGGCCAGTACTCACAAGTCAAGGGGAATTATTCTAAGTCCACAAAATTGGGTGCCCCCGGGATCGGCATCCTCTGCCGAGGGAGATCTTACCTACGAATGCTACAATCGAGAAGGTCCCATTTACCAAGGGCCAAGTGACAAGCAACACTTAGAATTTTTTTTAAGTCCTAAATGCTCGGCCCTCTGTCAAATTATCATGCAATCCAGGGGTCTGATAACCGAAGGCCACATGATGCACATCACTTAGAAAAATATTCTAAGTCCTACAAACACTTGGCCCTCAGTCAACTCATGGCAGCTACCCAAGTTCTGAAGGAATCATCAACCAAGGGCCTAGTACTGAACAAACACTCAGGAAAATTTTCTAAGTCCTAAATGGCTGAGAACTCAAGCATCAAACGAAGGCAGTCAATCACAAGAAAATACGAAGACATTCATCCACAAAGAAAAACGAAGGCATTCATTCACAAAGACAAAAACAACGAGGGCATTCATTAAACAAGCAGATAAGGAGAGGGAGGCATTCATTAGCAAAATAGAAAAGTAAATTGTTGTACATGTGGCCGAAGCCGGAGGATCATGAATATTCAGTACAAAAATATTTCAAATTATCTAAGGATTATCAACAGCAACAATCCTCTCTGCCGGCTTCGAAGTGGCGTCCCCTTCGGCCTCTTCCTCTTCATCGCTGGCCTCCTGCATCAACACAGTATCTTCTAGATCAGGTCTTGTAGCACCCTCAGGAAGGGGAGTTCTGGGATCAGGCTGAAGGGGAGGAAGACCATGAGCTGCCGGGTCAAAGGCCTTTGGGTCCACCCCCAGATGCCGGACTAGCCTTTGGTAGATGAGGGCCTGAGTGAAGTACTCACCCCCATCATAATACTCTTTGCCCTTCCGGGCTAGCCACATGGCGTCGGGGCCCTTCACCCAGTTATCTACCGAGACCTCCACCACCGAGGCCACCCACTGCTGATGCCCCTCAGCCTTCCAGCCCTCGGCCACGAAAGCAGCCACTGCACCGTTCTCGGCCTGGGTTATCGCCTCTTTTTTATCCCCCTCGGCCTTCTCAACGGCTATCCTGGCGGCCTCAGCTGCAATCTGCTCGGCCTCAACTCTTCCCTCGGCCTTGGCAACTGCCTTGGAATTTTCCAGGATTTTATTGAAGGCCGCCTTCTCTGCTTGAAAAGCTTCATTGGCCTTCAGAAGCTGCCTTCGGGCCTCCGCCAAAGCTTCATCAGCCTTCTGCTTCTGGAGGGCAGATTCCTCCATCCTCTGAATAAGCTCGCCTAGGCCAATGCTTGCCTACGAAAGACCAGGAAACACTAAGAGTTAAGTTACTACGCACAATATGCAAGATACACTTAACTAAAGGAAAGAAGGGAGGAAAAATCTTACAGTGACAGAGGCCTGGAGGACATTCGAGCAGAAGACATCGTCAGCCTACCGGGACAGCATCGACTTGTCTGTCAAAGGGGTGGCACCCCTCAGGAACTCCCTCAGGCTGAGGGTGTCATGCATGATGGAAGTCCGCTTAGTGATAGAGAACTGCACGTTCTCCTGGGGCCACGCCATTCCAGCGACTTGAGCCCGAGGCTCAGAGGAGGAATGCTCCTCGACAATAACAACGGGGGCCTCTTTCTTCTCGACGGCCCCCTTCTTCTGCTTCTTCCCCTCCGGGGGCACCGCGGCCTTCCCGGCCCGCTTCCCCTTTAGCTCCTCGACGGGGGAGCTCTCAGCTGTAGAGCCGACATCTTCAGCGATGGCAGCCTTCACCACGGGTCCACCATCATTCCCAGCTGCAGCCTTCGGGAATATATTGTCTACCGCCCTCTGTTGCGCTGGGGACGCCTTCTTCTTGTCCTCTTTGGCAAGTTGCCTCTTCAACCTGGTGAGATTCTTAGAATCCATGTCTGGTCTTGAAAAGCAAAGGAAGTACAGAAGAGTTAAAATAATACTACAGCAAGACACCAAAAATTCTAAGTATAAAATGAGAGCCCTAGGCAAGGCGACAACCTCCGGCACTTTGGTAGACCCCATCGATAGGGGGATATCTCTCATCTTTTCCCCCCATCAACTGGTACCGACGGAAGCCCAAATCGTAAAGCTCGTCCGGGAGGGTGGCGACCTTGATCAATATGTGCTTCTCGGACCCCTCTGGCTTCTTGGAAAGTTTCCTCCCCTTCTTCTCCAAGGTGGCACTCTCTACCTTTACATGCCTCCGGAAGCTATCACGGAGTGGGGCCGGGAAGGGATTCTCCGCCATACGGACATAGCAAAATTTGTCTTTCCACCCTTTGTGAGACGAGGGGACATCGTCGAAGAGTCTGAACTCGGGGAGCTACTGCAGGTTGGCGAAGCCTCTAGCATTTGAGTGACCTCCCCGGCAGAGGTTGAAGGAGAGGAAGAACTGATCTAACGTGGGCTCCACATCCGTGCTCCGACAAAGGGAAAGGAAACCAGCCAAGTAGGAGTGGTTGTTTGGGGTCAGCTGGCAGGGGGCGAATTTGACAAAGCGAAGGTACTCGATCACGAAGGGGTGGAGGGGGAATCAGAGG